ATCTCAAGCTGAACGGCGCATCCATCATAGTCATTGCACAAGCCACTGGTGACCCGAGCGAACGGAAGCAGGAGCAAGAACTACAGGCAAACACATCACAGGCGGCGCCACTATCCCTTCAACGGAAGCAGAACTCGGCGCTCAAGGAAACACCCGAGGTTCCCGTGCCTGACCGCGGTGGCACTATGGTCCTTCGGGTCATGCCTGACGACAACTCCTGCATGTTTCGAGCTGTTGGTAGCGCAGTCCTGACAGATTCTCTCGATTCTATGACCGAGCTTCGATCGATGGTTGCGCAAGCTATTCAAAGAGACCCGGAACAGTACAACGAGGCGATTCTGCAACGCTCTCCAGATGAGTACTGCAAATGGATATCGTATGCCGACTCGTGGGGTGGTGGCATCGAACTCAGCATCCTTTCCCAAGAGTTTGACATCGAGATCGCCAGTGTCAATGTCCAGGACAACCGGGTGGACCGATTCAACGAGGGCAGACCGAGGCGCTGTATCGTGGTGTATTCTGGTATCCATTACGACACTATCGCCTTCGTGCCCCAGGGTGCGTCCACGCAAGATCCTTCGCAAGATGTTAAGATATTCGATGCGACAGACGACGTGATTCTTGAAGCTGCGAGGGAACTCTGCGGGCAGCTGAAGAAAGCCCACTATTACACCGATACACAGAAATTCGATCTCAAGTGTAACACGTGCGGTTGGAAAGGGGCAGGAGAACGGGGCGCGATGGAGCACGCAGCCGAAACGGGACATAGCGACTTCGGAGAGGCAGACTGATTGATTTCTTGATACCCGTGGACGCCTTTGGTATGTTGTGTACCATTAGCCATGTCAATATTGTATTTAACTTCTCTGTAATAGTAAGAATTACACTGATTGCAGTCTCGTTCAGCTCGCTGTTGGTCACTATGAGTAACGGCGAAAACCCAAAATCTCGTTTGTGATTCACACCGAAAAGTGAAGACGATCTGTGGAAGCACGTGTACCCAAACAGGGGGAGTTTCGTAGTTTTCAATGGTATTGAGACCAAGACATTCGGTGAATTGATTTTTCATTTCACGCGGTATTCTCTTTGGGCAAGCGCCGCACTTAGGTTCTCACTTTGTCAGCAAATGCTACCCTAAGATTCACTCTCTGCGTGGAAACTCCTTATATACGACCTGGAAGACCCGTTCCACACTCTCAACCCCACTATCACCACCATAAAACCGACCTCATCAAGCTATTCAACCATACTTCGCCTGTGTACATTATGTCACTACGCGCGAAAACCCGGAGCCATGTTAACGACGACACAACTGCGCCATCTCCAGAGTGAGCAACTATTACTTATAATGAATTGGGCCCTACTGACTTCGCCTAGTGTCTCAGGCGTGCCAATGCCTATCAAAGTGGGCAGAAGGAAGTTCCACGTCCACATCGGTACACTGACGGCGACATCTGATTTCTTCAAAAACGCCATGAAGCGAAGATGGCGCGCCAACGCAAAGAAACAAATTGACCTGGCGGACGAAGAACCAGAAGATTTTGAATCTTACGTCAATTGGCTCTACAGCAGAAAGGTCGCTGTCACTCGGCCTCTTGTGGGCAGACACATCCAACTTGCTCGTTTGTACGTTTTAGGCGGAAGACTCGTTGACGAGACCTTCCAGAACGCTGTCCTTTCCGCTATGATCGACCATGCAGTAGAAAGGGACTCCTTTCCTCCAGAAAGCGCTATCAACATCATCTATTCGGGTACCGGTAGTGCAAGCTCTCCAGCACGCCGACTTATGGTTGATATGTTTGTATACGGTTGCGATGAAGACTGGATGATTACAGGAAGTCTTATAGAGGAAACCAGCGTGGAGTTCGTGGACGACTTGGTGAGAGGCTTCATTCGTTCTTGTACGAAACATCCTATCAATCGGAAACTTAGTCCGTGGATGGTGGCTCCTGAACAGTACCGTTTGAGGGTGGAACAGAACAACGGGAAAGAGACTGAGAATGCGAAGGATGAATTGATGGACACTTCCGACTAAGAGCTATTACAATCACACCGGAGATGTTTATAGATACTCTATAGTCGGGAAGGTACCTCGAGATCAGGGCCAGGGCTTCCATGAGCGGTTTCAATAGGTCTTGGAGCAGGCCGCTGTCAATAACTCAAAGATTACAATCATACACTGTTGTCACAGTTTGACCCTAGCAATCGCCACTTGCCTTTCATATACATAGGTCCTCGAAGGCGCCGAGTGGAGTGCAGCCGTCGAGCCCAACTCAGACGGGTATGACAAGCAGCTACAAGAAGTTTGAATTCGTAAAGAGTGGTGAGATATCCAGTACTCTTACGACGCGGAGTGCGATTAGTTTCGCGGACCTTGGGGTCCAAGTAAGCTCACCACCCGACATACGGCCTGTTCACATGATGATAGTCCTCCGGCATCGTAGTCGTGACGAAAAACTTATCAGCTCCCCATTTCTCCTCCATCTTTTTCGTCGCCCACCTCCACAACGGATTGCACAAGCGATGCCTATACTCTTGGTTGCCGCCAAAAGCATCCTCTTCACCTTGATTCGTTGCGAATTGGAACTGCATGCTGTCGAGCTTGGGCATATCGATGATGCGATCGAGACCATACTTTGCGACAAACGTCTCCACGTCTTGCGCAAGACTCGCCTTCTCTTCCTCGAGGCTGCGTCCTTCGGGGAGATCGTAGTGCAAGCCAGTTTCTAAATAACACTCTTGCTCGTTGGTGTAATCGAACCTCTCCATGCGCACGCCATCTTCAATACTGGGGAAACTGAAAATGATATTGATGGATTCGAGCTGAATGAACTTAAAGATCAGTTCCAGGTGCGTAGCAGTGCCTTGCTCGGTCCAGTTGCAGATTGAGATATGCTTGACGTGCTTGGATGCTGCATCTTCAGGAAGATAAGAATACAGGTCCAAGAGCTGCTATAAAGGTCGTTTCTTCGCGTTTAGCCTACATAAGACACATATTAATATATATTTACCTAAATATAGATTTTATTACTTAATAGCTACTACTATCTTTAAAGTATTTTATTTTTATTTTTTAAACTTTTAGTTAACTTATAAACTATAACTATAAAAGTAGTTATTAGCGTAAACTCTTTAAAGTAAGTAGCTATAAGTATTACTTATAAAGTATAACTTCTTAAAATTTATTAGTATATAGCTAAGCTATTTAAGTTAATAAAAAAAACTTTTTACTATATATTTTTTTTTTTTTAAAAAGTTTTTAGCTTAAAAAGTATTACTTATATAGTTAGCTATATTTATAGTAAATAGTAATACTATATACTTTATAAATAGTTATAGTAAATAAAATTTTTTTAAATTTACTATATATATTAACTAATACTACTAATATTTTTAAACTTACTATATATTTAACTTAAATTTTTAATACTTTTTAAAGTACTAAGTATAGTAAAGAAAGTAAAAATATTAAAAGTTAGTACTAGTACTTTATAAAATACTATTATAGTACTTTAAAAAGTAGCTTAAAATATAAAAATTTAAAATACTAATATAGTTATATAAGTTATATAAGTAATAAAAATACTAAAGTATATATTTTATATTTTTTTATAGTTAACTTACTTTAGTATATATAATTTTAAAGTTTAGTTTTTTTATTTTATTTATAGTACTATAATAATATAAAGTAAAATAAGCTACTTATAATTTTTAAATTATATAACTACTATATACGTAAAGGTACTTCTTATTAAATAAGAGAAATTATAATTCTTAGAGTCTAAGCTGCTGTAACTCTTAAGTGTTCTATAAAAACAGGTTCTAAGCAAGAAAAATCGGCGTGGCTTCGTTGAATAGTTGGCGGTTGGCTTGACACAAGGCTGGGAGGTCGTGGAAGAGCGCAATTTTGCTTGATGTCGTGATTGCAGCTCGATTTTTCAAAAAGGGCACCGAACCGTGGAAGGTGTAAGTGTATACTTGATCGCGCAGTTCGCGAGGAAGGCGCAGAAGTGGAGACGGTGGAGAGACTGGAACGGACATCTTGGATGGTTCGAGATGCTGAGAGGGCTGGAGAAGCGTATTGATGAAAGAGGGCGGGATACTAGAGTTATAGGTGCCAAGGGCGGAAGAATTCATGGGTAATATTGTTGCAAGAGCCCGCTAGGTCGAGTTTGGATCTTGCACATCAACACAGCTTGTTCTAACCCGATTACCTAGATAGTCTCTAGTGTAATGTCCAGCGCCAGAGCATATATACATAGTCGTGCGTGTATTCCGCGGGAAGTCCTAACTGCTATACTAAGATCATTGGCATATTGTCTATCGTGCCAAAAACGTCAGTGCTTCCATCGTGGGTGATATCAGAGACAGGCGCGCTTTCCTCTTTGAGACAAATTCGCACTCACTTTCACTGCGTACATTTGAGGATCGGCTTAGGCTGCAGCGTCCGTGCTTTATGCCTGCCCAGGTGTTCTGTCGCAATTTGCGTTCACTTTCGAACCAATACCTTGCGAACCACTGACCTGCTTGACTAACCACTTCATTGCTATTGCCTGCTAACAAGGAGCGGGAAGCCTACAGCAAGATGGCTTCCCCAGACTCATGTGAATCAGCTGCATTTATCATCAAGCTGCCAAAGTGAATCGACGCCTATGTCTTCTCAGAATACAGACATCTAACGTCTTTAGTGTCTCGGGCGAGACTATCGCAGTCAAAGTCGGACTTCAAATCGTCGAAGTACACAAGGATCTCATCAGCAGCAGCTCCGAATACTTCAGAAAAGCCATTAGTCACGAGTCGATTTTATCTCACAGGTAAGATCTCGCTTTACGAAATACATACATATGAGACATTTACTGACTCCGTACGTGTACCTCTGCAGGTTCATCGATCTGTCCGACGAAAAGCCTCATGATTTCGACATATACTGTCAATGGCTATATACTCGAGTCCTTGACGCGAAACTAGACAATCACAATGGATTCAGTTACCTTGCTCGGATGTACGTCTTGGGAGAAAAGTTGATCGACCGCACATTCCAGAACGATGTCGTCGACGCCATAATCTACCGCCATATCACTGCGCGACTGAGTCAAAAGCCCCTGCGCTACAAAGTACCTGATCTGGAAGCTATCGGAATCATTTACAAGGGCGCTCCGAGGAAAGCCCCGGTGATACGTCTCCTGGTGGATCTGTGGGCTTTCAACATGGACTCCTCTTGGGTCACGAAGACGAGACTTCGAGCGCCAGAGAACAAACCTTTTCTGGATGACCTCTTACCGGCACTGTTAGACAGGCGAGGACTACCGGATGCTTCCCAAGCTAGGCCATGGATCTCGCAACGAAGTTTCTATTACAACAAGGGTGTCGTGATCAAGAGCGAAATGCCGGAAGACAGGGGCGGCGAGGCAATCTCTGAGCCTTCCATCAAGGATGAGCCTTCCGATGAGGAGAAACCTTTCGTTACGAACGAGCCTTACGTTGAGGATGAAACTCATATCAAGGAAGAGCCTTCTATGATAGATGAGCCCTTCATCAAGGACGAGCCTTCTAGTGAGGAAGAGCTTTCCAGCGAGGAAGAATCTTCCAGCGAAGATGGATCACCCAGCGAGGATGAGCGTTCCAACAAGACTGATCCTTCTGTCCAGGAGGAGGTGGACGTCATTGATGCATTCTGGGGCATGTAGGAGACTACATCCCTTGTTACCAGAACTCGCTACAAGTGATGATGTACTATGAAGTATACATAGTCCTTTGGTCTAGTAAAAATCAACAACAAGTTACGTGAATACCTCCAGGGTGGATTTTGATGCTAGGGTACGGCAACCTTCTGTGCGAAGAACGTCTGCTCAGTTACCCAACGATGAAGTGAATGTGCAATCTCCTCACCTGTGAAGCTAGACTAAAAAGCGGAGGACTGTATCCTGGTGAATGAGACATCGCTAGCGCGAAATCGGAGATACGTTTTCTCACTCACTTCCAAGATCCCGCGTCGTCAGCAACCTCTCGCATGTCCGTTAACTCATCTTTTCAACATCGATTTAAGTCGTGGCTGTAAGTGAGTTTGAGGCGACTCATATTTCTCATAACTGACACCATGGCGTACAGATCGAAAATGCCCATCGTGAAGATCCCCGCGCGCGCTCCAGACACCGCCATGATCGCCTTGATAGAGGCGGGAGACGACTTTGAGACACCCAACTTGAGAGGCGACATCGTCCCTATCCACGTCGGCAACACCCCGGAGACACTGTTGCATGTCCACAGCACTGCCTTGAGCAAGAGCTCCGAATTCTTCAAGAACGCGTTGAAACCGGAATGGCGCACAGATCATACCAAGCCCATCGACATGTCTGACGTGGATCCTGCCATCTTCGAAGGCTATTGCGGATGGTTGTACACCGGAAAAATCATGCATCGCGAGAACGATCAGGCTCATACATACCTCGCTAGTCTCTATGTACTTGGGGAACGGCTTATGGACGTTACACTCCAGAACAGCGTCGTCGCCGCTATCATTCGACACAGCCAAACCTCCAAGAAATACCCTGGAAATCTATCGATACAGATCATTTATGCTGGTACCTCCGCAAGCTCACCTGCCCGACGCTTACTGGTAGACTTTTGGGTCTTCCATGCGAAACCAGCATGGAAAGGACTTGAAGACTTGACCAAGCATACATGCTCCGATTTCGTCAACGATCTGGTTCGCAAGCTCGTTGAGCAGCGAGAGCCACCCGACGGCTTCGTCCCGAAGCCATGGGTCGCGGATCCTGAATCATACAAGACCAAGTAAAGTGACCTTACACTATAGCCTGGAGGTATTCACTGAGCTATGCGTTGACTTCCGACAAAGTACAGTGTAGCGAATACCTCCAGGGTGTACAGTATGGTTGAGTACAACTCAAAACATAACGAGACTGTCCGGTAAAAAAGAGAAGAACGCTGGAAATTATTCAAGGACAAGAAGGAACGTAGACCAGCAGGAAAGATGTATCTTCTCACTTACTAGCTACCATAATTCATTTCTCAATACAGCCGAAGCAACGATATCATACAGTGGAAAACGCCAGAATCTTCTACCCATGTGACTGACTGACCCACTGTGTATGCTCCCAAACTCCAAGTCATATAAGTAAGCAATAGCAATAGTCTAGAAGCCAAATCCACCGGGGAAACCACCTGGGAAACCGCCGCCGCCCTGCTGGAACTTGAAGCTACCGCCACCACCGGGGAAGCCACCACCTCCACCTTGTCTGAACATGAACTGCTGACCGCCGAAGGGTGAGCCCTGGAAGGGATTGCCTTGCTGCTGCTCGTTGCTGTTGGGGTCGTCGCCGCGATCGAAACGTTCCTTGAGTTCGGGGTCGGAGAGGACTTCGTAGGCTTCGTTGACTTGGGACATCTTCTTCTGCGCATCCTCGGGTGTCATGTTGTTGGCCGAGGCCTTGTCGGGGTGGTACATCTTGGTCAGCTTGCGGTATGCCTTCTTGATCTCGCGCTCGTCTGCGTCGCGCGTTACGCCGAGCACCTTGTAGTAGTCCTTTGTCTTCGAGCGCTTGAGCAGTGTCTGCGCTTTGTGGTGTAACTCGTCGAGCTTCTGGTTCTGGTGGTGCTCTTTCGCGTGCTCTAGGGTCCGGACGCAGTCTTCGAATTCGCTGGCGTCGAGCTGGAATTGAGCTTTGTGGAGGAGGGCGTGTAACGAGTCGGGGTTGAGTTGTAGGGCTTCGGTACAGTATGGTGTGCCCTTCTTTAGGTTGTTCATCTCGACGTAGGCTTCGCAGGTCATCTCGACGAGGGTCTGATAGAGACCTTGGGGTGAGTTGGCGTAGATGTAGCCCTGTTCGGTGTAGTCTTTGTAGTCTTGCTTGACCTCTTTCAACAGACCCGGTTCCTCTTCGCCGCGATCGATGAGGAGTTTCGAGGCGGTGGCGAACTGGCGCTTCTCGAAGAACTTGCGCACCTTTTGGATGTCCTTGTCGAGGGTCTTTTCTCTTCTTCGCAGTTTCATGCAGACCTTCGAGTCTGGGTCTGACTGAAGACATTGTGCGATGTGCTTGAGCCCCTTGTCGGTTTCGCCCAGGGAGTAGAAGGCCATGGCGGAGCTCTGAAGATGGGGTTGAATATCGCCCTTGTTGATCTGGAGGAGATGCTGCAGGTCGCTGATGCCCTCGGCGACCTCGCCCTTCTCGAAGCGACACCTCGCTCTTGTCTTGCGGATGTCGTATGCTCCTCCCGCGACTAAGATGGCAGTTCCGGCGTTCGAGATACACGCGTCCCAGTCGCGCTTCTCTGCCGCTTCCTGTGCCATGATGGCAGCGCCCTGCGCTTCTTCCAGCTCCGCGATGGCATCGGTCTTGCCGGCAGCCTCGTAGTCTTTGCGCGCTGCCGCCCAGTCGGCCTTCCTGGCGCGGATCTTGGCCCTCTGCACTAATGCGCCCTCGAAGCCAGGCTTCAGTTCCAGCACCTTGTCGAAGTCATGTTGGGCCTGCGCTGTTCGGCCGATTTGCAGGTAAGCGGCGCCGCGCCTGAAGTAGGTGAGGTAGTTGCGCGGGTCGCGGGTGATGGCGATGTCGAAGTAGAGAAGGGCGTCTTGGGTGTTGCCGGTAGCGAGTTGGACGCTGGCGTCCTTGATGAGCTGCGACACGGGAGTATCCGTGGGTATGTCCGAGGCGGAGAGTGCGCTGGCGAGCGGGAGGAGCCCTAGGGCAAGAGAGGATAGTCGGAGTATCATGGCGGGATACGGTTGAAAGTGCTATGAATGAGTGACGGTAGGTTGGATGTTGAGCAAGCGGGAGTATAGTCCGCGCAGAGAAGCAACGGCAGGTGCGACGGTCAGTTCATGGAAAGAGCGGGTCGTGCCTTTATTTGGCCTTTCACTGTCGAACAATTGCAACTTGTCCTCAGCGACCAGCCGCATGATAGCCGGGACGCACTGACCCCCGCGACCCCCAGAACGCTAATGCGGGCAGGCATGGATTACGACATGCCCAGATGCATGCCCGTGAACGCCGCCGCTACGCCATCAGGACTAGACAGGCGCATACCTCATAGCTCCTCTTCGCACCCGCCTTGCGCACCTTTTCCTGTTCTTCTCATTCACTCTCCTCGTAACCGTCCACACGCCTGTCCCCAGTAATGTCTCCCATTCGGCTGCGTATCGACGGACGCATATTCCGAGACCCCCAGAACCGCGAAGTCACCCTGCACGGTATCAACTGTGCAGCCGACGCCAAGTTTCCTGCGAAGCCAGATCAGCCGTCACACATTCCAGACAACTTCTTCGACGGCGACAATGTTTCCTTTGTCAACCGACCCTTTTCGCTAGAAGACTCCGCGACACACTTCTCGCGATTACGTAGTTGGGGCTACAACACCATCCGCTATGTCTTCACGTGGGAAGCCATAGAGCACGCGGGCCCGGGCAAGTACGACGAGGAGTGGATAGACCACACTATCGCTCTACTCCGAAAGGCAAAAGAGTATGGATTCTATATCTTTATGGATCCTCACCAGGATGTCGTAGGTAGCATTCCAATAGATTCAGTTACTCCTTCTCTAATGCATCGCATAGTGGTCACGATTCTCTGGAGGTTCCGGCGCGCCCATGTGGACTCTCTATGCTTGCGGGCTGGACCCCGAGAACTTCGCCGTCACCGAAGCCGCCCTCGTGCACAACACATACCCCGACCCTGCCACCTTCCCTAAGATGATCTGGACCACCAACTACACACGATTAGTATGTCAGGTTATGTGGACGCTGTTCTTTGGTGGTAGGGACTTCGCGCCCAAGGCCATCATAGATGGAAAGAACATCCAGGACTATCTGGAAGATCACTACATCGGGGCATGCGAGCATCTTGCGAAGCGGATACACCAAGCAGGCGACCTGTGGCACGACCCGATCGTTGGGTGGGAAAGCATGAACGAGCCCAACAGAGGCCTCATCAGCTACCAAGATATTACCCAGATCCCGAGCGAACAGAAACTCCAGAAGGGCACCTCGCCGACGGCTTGGCAGGCGATACTTACCGGATCGGGCAGAGCTTGCGAGATATCGACTTGGGAATTTGGCGGGCTGGGACCATACAAGAGTGGCTCGGCATTAGTGGATCCCGAGGGCACTATGGCATGGCTATCGAAAGATTACGACGACACCAAATACGGCTGGAAACGCGACCCAGGGTGGAAGTTGGGCGAATGCTTGTGGGCGCAACACGGTGTCTGGGACCCAGCGACTGACACGGTCTTGAAGAAGGACTACTTCGGAATTGATCCCAAAAATGGGGCCAAGATTGACTACGAGTACTTCACAAACCACTACTGGCTGCCGCACTACCGGGCGTACAGCAAGATGGTCAAGTCCATATTCCCGGATTCTTTGATGTTCTTCCAGCCGCCAGTGTTGGAGATACCGCCAAAGGTCAAGGGCACAGAAGACGATGATCCCAACATGATCTTCTCGCCCCATTTCTACGATGGCATCACTCTTATCACAAAGAAGTGGTATGTTCCAGAATATCGATTCTTATTTCATCTCGTCTAACATCACACAGGAACCGCGTATGGAACGTTGACGTATTTGGTGTATTGCGAGGAAAGTATTTGACGCCAGCATTTGCCATAAAGATTGGCGAGAATGCCATCAGAAACTGCTTCTCCCACCAGCTCAAGGCGATTCGAGACG